ATTTTAATTACTGACTTCTAGCCTGTGTATACTCTCTAGCTTTGATTTGTCAGTAGAAATAGCATTATCAGAGGGCTCCTTTGCGAGTCTCACCATTCCCATTGGAAATGCCCATTTATAGCCCCAGTTTCTTAGGTTCTTGCTACTCAAAGTGTAGTCCTGAGACCAGCAGCCTAGGCACCGCCTGAGTGTTTGTTAGCAAAGCAAGTTGACAGGCCTCTTCCCAGACTTTCTAAATCAGCATCAGCATTTTAACAATATCATCATTGGATGATTGTATTTTAAAGTTTCAGAGACACTGTCTTAGGACATTTTTAAAGGGTCATTAAAAGTCACTGAACAGTTTGCAAATCACCCGGCTTACCACCTACTACCTGGTTCTCAGAACTACTTTTCAGCGTATATTTACACGTGCCTGCCATTCTTCCACCCGAGCTCTTAGAGGGGTGGGAACAGATTAGACCAGACCAGCAAATTTATCCCTTTCCTATTTCCCTAAAGCCACATCAAGTTGAATGATACTGAGATAGTACTCTGTCTTTTGAGGCTTCCTCAAATGGCCAGTTGTAACTCATTCAGGAAATAATCTCCAGGCTGTCGTTTTGTTTCTTTTTTGATTGAGTGTTACTCTGCTTTTTATGTTTAACCTGTATTCACTTCAACAACACATTATTTATGGTTGAACTAAACTCTCATTCTTAGAACTATTTCTTCCTCACTTTCTGAAATCTGCCAGTATGCAATATGCAAATATAAATATTCAAAACAGTGAGGCATGGGGCACGCATTGCATAAAGGGATGGGTATTGGATTGGCGTTAGGGTGCGCTGACTCAGAACGAATAGCCTTCTTTACTTCAACTGTTAAATGGACAGCACTACATATCATTCTTATTTATTGATATACCATTTTTTTTTTACTAGCTATAACCTCTATTTAATCAAAGAATCTCATTGCATTAGCACAGTGCTTGGTACAGCAAAGACCCTAAAAATAATGAGGTAAATGACATTACTCTCCTTTCATTCTAAACCATAAAGGGTTAAACTATGCTGCGTTAAGCAGAGGTAACATTTTGAAGTTTACAACGTACGCCAACCATAACAAACCCTATTGCTTTATACCAAAAAGCATTTCTGAGGTAGAAAAATAAACCTGAAAATAAAGAGTGCAGAAACAGTTTTGTTAATTGCTTGTCCTTGACATTTAAACACCGACTAACGTTACAGACAGACAGGGGGTAAATCAAGCTCGTGGAAATATCAAGTTTTTTTCTTTAAAAATATAATTCCCTCTCATTCCAAAAAAAGCACACTGGAGAAATGACACAGACTGTACTTCAAAATACAAGTGAGTCAGCAGACATCAAATAAAAACACCCACCAGCACTGATGCAGATCTCAAAACCCCCAGCTAACAAACAAGGCTTCAAGGCCTTGAGAGCCTCCAGCAGCTGGGAGAACAGAACGGGGCCGAAGAAAAATGTCTCCCCTTCCTCATAACCCTGTTCTCCAATAGTTTCCAATCTGCCCACCCACTCAGTTAATTCACTAAAAGCCTATTTGTATGGAGGACAGGAATAAGAAGTCCCCAGTGCAATACAACTCAGACAGTGATGAAATTAGAGGAACAAGCAGACTTTGAACAAGAGGTACGTGACATTTCACACTTAGGGGAAGTCTTCGGCCAGGTAGAGGCACCATACTGCCTCTTATATTAGCCTTGATGGCGACCAGCTGGAGCTCAGTTCAATTCACACATCACAAAGTGACAGCACTGGCTTTGGGCTACCCAAGCGGAGCCTTTCACAGCTGGAAAGATTGTAAACCAAGTATCAAACGTACCTACGATTTCTAAGCAGTCCTTTGCTCTCACTCATTTTATCTCCCAAATATGCTCTGTCCCCATAACAGATTATCCTACTAACCTGTCTAATCAACTCCAAGCATCCACACAAATCCCAAAGATGTCACTGTGTGTTTTATTGCCCATATTTCTAGTGAAAATCCTGCCTAGGTAGCGGTATCTAAAAATACTCCAAAACTCTGTTGCTTGCTCTGAAGAGGTGTTCTGAAGAGTGTTTCTATGCAGTGGAATTCCAGAAGGATTGTTTTGCCTGTTCTGTTCATTAAGGTCAATTGGCTTTATGTTCATCATCACTCACGATGCTTATTGTGCATAAGTGTGTTTGCGATTCACCCTGGAAAAGGTAGGGCAAGAAAGCAGTAACTTGGGTTCACATGACATTTATTTTTCTCTATTGATATCTACGGGATTACACAAAATGACCTAATTCCCCATTCTAATGTTCTTGTGAAATTAAAGGGGAAAGGAACGTTTTTCTTTTTCTTTCCTTCTTTCTTTCTTTCCTTCTTTCTTTCTTTTTTTCTTTCTTTCTTTCTTCCTTTCTCTCTCTTTCCTTTCTTTCTTTCTCTCTCTCTTTCTCTCTTTCTTTCTTTCCTTCTTTCTTTTCCTTCTTTTCTTTTCTTTTCTTTTTTTTCTCTTCTTTCTTCTTTTTAAACAGGATCTCACTGTTGCCCGAACTGGAGTGCAGTGGCATGGTCACAGCTCATTGCAGCCTTGAACTCCTGGGCTCAAGCAATCCTCCTGCCTCAGTCCATGAAGTCCAACAGATGCCAGCTACTGCTCCCAGCCCCTGCACCCACCCTATCCCCCTTCTATAATGTAGGGTGAGTCTGAATCTGTTCCCTTTTTCAGTGGTGTCCACAATTAGGTGAGTTGTATGCCATCTTTCCCTCTATGGTTTACCTATTTCACAGGTGTTAACCAATCAAGCCATTCCAAGGGACTTGATTTCTTTAAAAAAATTTTTTGTCTTGACTCATTGCAACTTCTTAACACAGGACATTTTGCCTTTTTTTTTCCTTTTTTTCTTTTTTGATTTTTTTTGTACCTAGCCCCCTCCACTCCTCCCATTTCTGATTCTAGATGTCGGTTTACTATGAACTGACAACTTCCAGGCTGTGGCACCTTTGCCCTCTGGCTAAATGCTGCTCACCTAAGTCCATTGAGAATCAGACCTTGAAATTCAACACATGCTGTTAATGAGAAAAAGCTGTTACAGAGACAGGACGACACGCTTAAAGTTTCAAAAGGAATCATGCAGAGAGCGCTTGCTATTGTTTGAGCAAACCACATTGCTTTAGCATACTTTTTTAAGAATTAGGACTTTTGTGAATTTAAGAAGAAAATTATTGCTGCTACCAAAAGAAGGCGTAATAGTGCTTAAGAGAGAAACTTTTCATTTCAGCTAGAGATAACATAAACTTGCATTCAGTTCATGCCACTTTATTCACTTTTAGAAAATACCATCTTCAGTGCAAACAACCTATCTCTTGCATTCTCAGTTCTTTAAGTGTGTGGCCTATTAATTATGCTGGCCCTGTGTAATCATAATAATTTACATTTCAATTCTTAAGAATACTGGGTATCAACTATATGCATGCTCACACAATGAAGTATCACATAATCCTGGGGCTACAAGAAGCTTACAATCCAATGGGGAAGCAGAGAAACCCACCAGGAAGGATAATGAAAGCAGGTGGGAGTTTTGAGCTGGAGTTTTGGTTCTGTACTAACAGACATGTAATTATTTTAAAATTAATATTAATTGACCAAATTTTTATTAGTTACTCACCCTTTGCCAGACACTAAGAAGATACAAGGTTAATGAAAGATAAGCTATAGTGATGATAGCAGTGGGGGTGGTTTGGAATTATAAGGGACCATTATTCTACCGACTACAAGTGGTACAGGTAAAAGGGAACCATGGAAAGTTATTAGAAAGTGTTACAGGGAAGATCATCAGCATTTAGGCTGGGTTAGAAGAAGGAAAATTGGAGGCCTCTGGGAATCTATTCTTATGGTCCTGGGGAAGGTCATGGGAATCAATGCTCAGAAAGCAGCCACAGAAAGAGTGAAATTGATTGCATTCTTTTTTGAATTTAGATGATGTCTTGAAGTTTCTGAGAATAAAATTTCTAGCCATGCACCTAATACTGATAAGAGAATAGTTGAAGAGTTTGGATTAGATATATCTGGACTTGATTTCTGGTTCTGCCACATAGCTGTGTAACATTGAACAAGATCACTTACCTCTTTAAGCCTCAATTTTCTTGTCTATAAAATATAACCAGTATAATAATATGCATGTTATAGGTCATTTTCAAAATTAGTAGTTGTATAAAAGGTGTAGCACAGTGCCAGACATTTAGCAAGTTCTCAGAAACAGTAGATATGATCAGTATCTTGCTATAGCTTTTATTCTTATGTGGTGACTTTATAGCATGCATTAAGATGAAACAATGTGATTGGGATAAATCTGTCTTTACAACTGGGTCCTGTTTATCTGTTAAGATTACTAGCCAGAGGATTTGTCTTACGGTTATTTTGAAATCAGTTATGGAGACAACAGAAATCAAAAGATAAGAAAGACTGAAGATCAGAGTCTCAAAACTCAGTTGCGTACCTGGAGGTAAGGTGTAAGTTTCATAAACTGAACCAGATGAAACTAACACCAAGTAGGACTTATGGCCACTGAAGAATGTATCCCATAACTAATTTTTTTTTTTTTCTGACCACACAAAATGATTAGGGTATCTGAGCTTGCAGCTCTTTGAAATAAAGTGCAGTGAATTAGAACAACTTTTAGATTGTGATCTATGGTTAGAAGGATATTTTAATATATTACAAAAGAACATATGTGCTAAAATTTCTCAAAACATTATTTAAAATTTGTATGTCTTATTGATACTCTTATTTTGGTCCATCCTATTTCACTCCATGTCTTTATATTCCTTTCTATCCTATCGTGATTTTAATTTGTTATGGTTTCTTCTTAATTTGGCCTCAAGAGTGGCCCTAAGCCCAGACAGCCATTCACTAGCTGAGCTCCGACCAGAGGAAAGTCAGACTTGGGTGTGACTTGGGTGTGTGTGTCAGGTGAGACACAATGAATGAGGAAGTGAACATAAAATGCACGAGACAGAATAAATTTATTACTCACAAGTCAGAGAGGTTAAGGGTGCCAACAAGAGGCAACAAGAAGTCCGGAAGGTTCAACTACCAGGTGGGGATCTAGAGAGATTGAGAGAGACAGAGAGAGGTGTTGGGGGAAACCTGTGGGACTATCTCTTTATTAACCTCCATAGGCCCACCCCTTAGGCTTTCCTGTGGGACTTGTGGATTGGCTAAAGAAAACCCACGTGAAAGGCGACCTCATTTTCCTGACTCTGGTGTTGACCATTAGGCTTTATCCTGGTTACCAGTTGTGGAATAGGTTGTGTTTTGGGTCAGTGAGATGAGGAACAAGCAGGCTATATTGCAAACAACCACAGAAGGAGAGAAAGTTTTAACCATGCCAAAGGTGACTGGGTTTTAAGCAACTATGTAGGCCTAAAAATAGATGCCGAGGCAGCAAGTATACTAAACAAATTTATGACACCTATCCTATCCTATCCGGTCCTGCCCTGCTGTGTCCTGTCCAATCTGATCTGATCCGATCCGATCTGATCCTATCCTATCCAATATGATCCTATCCTATTCTATCCTATCACAGTCAAATAGAATCTAGAGCCAGATCTTCTAATTTTATTTTTCTTGCCATCAATAGGCCACAATCCAGTTTATAACTCTGGTATGTAGGAATGGATTAAAAAAGACTTTAGTTGTATTCCCCTTCAAGTAAAAATTTTTGAAAAATCTGACTAGGTATATGTTTATTTTATTTTTTATTTTATTTTATTTTATTTTATTTTATTTTATTTTATTTTATTTTATTTTGACAGAGGAGTCTCGCTCTGTTGCCCAGGCTGGAGTGCAGTGGCACAATCTTGGCTCACTGCAGCCTCCGCCTCCCGGGTTCACGCCATTCTCCCGCCTCAGCCTCCTGACTAGCTGGGACTATAGGCGCCCACCACCACTCCCGGCTAATTTTTTATATTTCTAGTAGAGATGGAGTTTCACCATGTTAGCCAGAATGGTCTGGATCTCCTGACCTCGTGATCCACCCACCTCAGCCTCCCAAAGTGCTGGGAACACAGGCGTGAGCCACCACACCCGGCCAGTATATGTATATTTATTTAAAGTGGCATACATCTACTAATATTAATGTGTTTATTCAATGTCAAGAAAACTTTTTAAATTTCTTAGATAAAAATACGAATAGAAGTTATACTATTTTTCCCTCAGTACAACAACCTGTACACCATTTGATGAGATCTAAGGCAAGCTCCGTACCTGACCACTTGTATGACTTGGAGTCAGTGATTTAATGTTTCAGTGTAGAATTTCTCATCTGTAAATTGGAAATGATAATATATATTTTACGTTTTATTGAAATAATTTGAGTAAATATTGCATTTAATGCAAACAATATAGCACTTGACCTCCCCAAAAGTAAAGTTACTTTAATAATTCATATTAATTGAACAAACTTTTGTTGACTACCTAGTATGTATGAAGCACTGAGAGAATATGAAGATCAATAAAAGATTACATATGATGATGATGATGATGAAGTAGAAGATAGAAGATAAAGAAGAGAATGAAGAAGAGAAAGAGGAAAGAGATGTTATAAGCTACTGGGCCTACCAATTTATATAAATATAAAATGAGTCAGGATATATTATGTCTTAATAAATATATATTTGCCATTGTGCCTAACATTTAGTGTAAGTAAATATTTTTGAATACATGCGCTCAATTATGGGTGAATGAATGAATAAAGGAATGTGTTGCAGTCTTTGCAATTACCACACAGAAATCCTGCTTTAGCCATTGTCTTGTTACCAGCAGAAGTGACATGTTGCAGACCTTTCTTTAATACCACTTGATCATCTAAGATAAAAAGTAAAAGGACCACTGAGTTGTTTTGTTTTTTTTGTTTTTGTTTTTTAATAAATGCAGGGGGTACATGTCCAGTTTTGTTACATGGATATATGGGGAAATGGTGAGTTTTGGGCTTCCAGTGTGCCCATCACCCAAATAGTGAACATTGTAATCAAAAGGTAATTTTTAAAGAGATTCTTATAGCAATTTTTAAAATTAAAAATGCCACATCACATGTGCATTTTTAAAAAAATGATTAAAAGAGAAAATCATAACTCTGTTTTGAAGAGATTTTTTATTTTCATCAAATGCTATAGTGAGGAAATGACCATTATTAAACTTCTTTTCTTCTTACTCAGTAATTACATAAAGGCATCCAGCTTCACCCACAATTTCTTCAAATACATTGAAAATGGAATTAAATATTTTTATAGGTAAATCACCTTAGAAATCAATAGACAAGACTATTGTAACTATATTTCTAGTTCTTTTGACATAAATATTAAAGGGCCATCTTTAAACATATGCTTATTTTGTATCCTGTCTTTCTCACCACTTCTTTTATATTTCAAAGTCAATAGAAAAATCTACTTAAACAGGTCTCACGTTACTGAGAATCTAGAATTGGATTTCAGATTTACTTTTTGATTCAGTAAATTATGTTTTATCATTCAGAGGATGCAACATATAAGGTGACACATTGTAGCCAGATAGAGAAGTAACATTTTTCAATTGCTATTGGCTGTAGTTCTGTTTTTATTAACCCTCTTGCTGGTAAATCTGAATGCAGGCTCTATGGGATCAGATGGGAAATAATAACTTTCTTTAGTGCCATTCAGGCAATAGAGAATGATTTTCCATTTGTGGAAATATCATCTAGGAAATAACCTGCAATGGCAATTTGTCAAGAAAAGAAATCCATCACCAAGCTTGATAACGCTAGTGGAGAATGAAGCATGTGCGTACAGATTCACAGTTACCATTTGACCCTGGGAGTCCCCAGGATTATCAATCATCCCACATTTCTCTCACTTCTTCATTTTCCCGCTCTCCTCTCACCCTTCACAAAAAGGCTAGCAGCTGTGTTTTTCCATTCAGCATGTGAGGAACATGCAATAGCTTTTAAAACACTTCCCCAAATATTTTCTACAGCATAATAATCCTTGAGATTGACAAGGTAGGATCATTCTCCTTCTGTAAAAGACAAAACTGAAACCATGATTAAGTGACTTGTCTAAGGTCACACATCCAGAAAGAGGCAAATGTGTGGATAACACTTCTTTCTGAATCACTGCACTTTGGAATACACTAATGGTCAATGAGGCATTAGACAGAAAAATGAAAGAGACCAGAAAAACCAAGAAGCCTTCAGCCCCTGGAGACTGAGCGCTTAACCACTTTCTTATTATGTGAGTCATTTGTTGTTTTTGAGTGATTAGTTGATTTAAGAAACTATATTAGCTGTCTATTGCTACAATAATGTAAATCTCATTGACAGAGTGGTGGCGGAGTTCCCAAGGAAGAGGCAGAAATGTGGAAGACCTCTGTAGGCCAAGGGTCAGAATTAGAGCACTTTTATCACATTCTATTGGGCAAAGCACCTGAAAAGTCTAGCCCAGGTTCAAAGGGTGGAAAAACAGACTCCACCTCTTAATAGGAAAGCTATAAAGTTACATAGCAAGGAGTGTGGCTATAGGGTGGGAGTCATTGGGGCCACGTGTGCAATCAAAAACACTCACTCATCATCTCCAGTATGCCAAAGGTCTGGGAATATAAAGAAGACTAAATTGTTCTCTCTAATAAATAGAGTTATAGTCTGGTAAGACAGACAGTCACATAAAGTCATTGCAACACCAAACAATACAAAGAGAGCAGGCAGGAAAAGAAACACCTTGATCTACAAAACTCAAGAGTATAAGACATCCAACTTTAAAATTTTTTTGTAACATTTGAGTCTTGAATATCATTTTAATCCACAAGAAGATTTAATTAATTCTAGGTAATGAATTAATTCTGAGTTTCCTAAATTAATTTGGCATTTAGTCATTAAAACCAGGGTTTCTCTCTCTCCTCCTTGTCACAGTTAGGGTCTAGGTCATGTTTTCAACCATCAAACATTGGCATCCATGGAGATTGGTATTCCTTGTGGTCCTGATCCTAAATACATAGATCCTTCCACATTTGCCAGTGAGTTAGTGTCTAAACCCAGCCAAATACATATGACTATGTTACCAATGTTAGAATACAAAATCTAGTGAACTGGAGATTAAAGAAGAAATCATTAAGAAGTATAAACTTTATTTTGTACCAATATTTAATATTGGCTACCAAATATTCTCAAATACCTGTATTATAATAAATATTATATTTATATTAAATATCTTATCAAATATTATAAACAATGTTTGATAAGAAAATATTCATGGAGATGATATAAATTGTCATATATTCATATGCATCATTTCAGAGTGAAAGGATATTTATATTTTAGAAACCTAAGTAAAAATGAGTCTGAAGACAGCACTGAAGGGAAGTTGAAAGAATGTGAATTCCAGCCCATCTTCATGCCTAGCCATGTGACTCTCACAAAGTTATTTCCCTTCTCTGGCATCAGTTTCCCCATTCTTTATTGAGAGGGTTGAATTAGATAAATATTTCAGTCCTTGGCATTCAAACCTCATAGCATTTAGGAGACTGAAAAGGACTATTAGTGGCTGTAGGGAAAGAGACAGTGAAAGAGAGAGAAAAAGAAAGAGGGAGAGACAGAGAGAAAGAAAAGGAAGAAGGAGAAGAAGGAGGAGGAGGAGGAGAAGAAGAAGGAGAAGGAGGAGGAGGAGGAGGAGGAAGAGGAGGAAAGAATGAGAATCAAAAGAAAAGTCTATGTAAGCTCACAGAAGGTAGGACATCTGCAGATGATTTGTTAACCTAGCTGAGATGATAGTTTTTAGTGAATAACACATATTTCGATATTACATATGGATGTTTCTTTGTATGAAGGCAAAGTTTTAATATTCAGAATACTATATGCCCCATTACAGTGTGAATTTACAATTGTCAAGTAACATAGCTCATTATAATGATTTTAATTATATATATATATATCAGTGTTTTGTTCCTCAATGTAAAAATTATTGACAACAACTAAAATACGGAAGGAAAAGAAGTCACTTTTAGATCCTCTAATAAATGTCAACATGTACCAATTTGAAATATTATTACTAGCAATATTTCATAACATAATCATGCGTCATTTCTAATAGATTTACAATGGATTAAATTATGGAAACTTTATTCAATACCAATAAATGGTACTTATTGACCATACATGATTGGTCAATTTTAATATTATACAGGTATTTTGAGAATATTTGGTAGCCATAATTACCAATAATTCAGATGAATTAGGCTGTGATTAATGCAAATTTAATAAAGTTATAAGTAGAAAATTTCTAGCTAAACTTGGCAAAAATGGCATTGGACAGGGATGCATAATATTATTGAAACTGATGTGAGTTCTCTGTTTATTTTAAGCAACACATCTATAATCTCATGCTGAAAGCAATGACCTTTGGGGTTTTCTGCAACCTTAACCTTGGAAACAGACTATTGCTCATGCTCTAGTTGTCAATTTCTAAATCACACTCCCCCATGCCTTTGAGATTGACCAGTTTTCAAACATCTCTGTTACATTTTATTTAGTCTGCTGTCAGGATCAACCGAGCCAAAACATGAAAAAAAAAAAAAAAAGGTATAAAATCTAGTTATGAGACATAGATTATACTGGCCAATTTTGTAAAAACACTCATTGTTTTGTTGAAGATAAGGAAAGCCAAGTATATTTTACCATTTCTCTTCTCAAGAAAAGGTAGTCATCTAACAAATTGATGCTGCAGATGGGAGCAGCCAGTTAACTGCCACACACAGGGCTGATTCTTCAAATATAAAAAATGTAAACATAAACTCTCCCTCCCACTCCCCACCCAAGGGTAACAATGTGAAAAGGGATTGTGTATTGCCATGTACATAGCAGATGTTGGACAATGATTAATTAAATGTGAATAATTGGCATTGTAAATGTTACTTATCTGTCAATGAAACAAAATATAACACTTCAACGCTGACAAAAGTCATTTTGCTCTGATTTTGTGGGGTTTATTTAGATAACTGTCATTTGTTTTCTTTTTACTTTTTTCTCCTCTCCTCCCTCTTATTCCCCTTGGTGATTTAGGGTACTCTGTCATGGTCTCAGGTGTTTGTGTCTGTTGGGACCCTTGGCCACTCCAAGTCTGCTGTAGAGCAAACCAAATTGTTTCTGAGTGCCACAAGGGACATGCCTCTCTTAATAAAACAGAAAACAGCATCCTCCAAGGTTTCAGCTAAAAAGAGGCTGGGAAAGAATGACTGGCTGACATAGCTGAATCTTTTCCCTCCAAAAATAGATGTAGTGTCATTCATTTCCTGAAAAATAAAATGGACTGTATT